CTTTTATTCATATCTTTTTGTTTTCCCTAAGGTTAATAATTATCCTATTTTTAAGTTTCTTGCTTTTCTTGTACATATCAGAATTCAACCCCAAATTCTCTCCTACTTGACACCCTCCCGAGGGTGTCAAGGTTCTTGGTGTCTTCAACAAAGAATTGGACAAAATGTATAAACAAAGCAAGGAAAAATGAAACAACAGAAGCAGAGATTTATTGAAAACGAAAGCACACTCCACAGGGTGGGAGCAGGCCCAAGCAAGCAACTCAAGAGCCTGGTTACAGAGTTTTCTAGGGTTTAAATACCCTCTAGAGGTTTCCCATTGTACTTGATGTACACCCTATGTAAATGAAGTAGTGGCCTGCCATCAGTTTGATTAGTTGTGGGAGGGGCCAGGGTTGCAAAGGGAGAAGCCTCTGGTCCTTTTGGTACTTGGGCATGGAAAATTGGGGTTTTTCTTTTGCTTTAGTTCTAGGAATTCAACATGAATTGGCCGTAGGTTCCCTGCCTCCAGACCCTATTTTCCTGCCTCAGTTGGTCTCAATATCCCCTCAAGATATTTATTCACACCAGGTTGTCCTATTAGTTTCTTCTCAAAAATCTGAGGTAGAATGTTTTGATCTCCTTCAATCTGGATCACTCGTCCTCTTTCCCAGTCTTCATTGTAAATTTGAGAGTCCCCTTTAATGCTTTTCAAGGTTGGATGACTTGTTTGTCCTGTCTTTCTCTTTCATGGCTCATACCTTCATTTAAGGAATCCATTCCTAGTAGCTTTCTAAGAAAGGTGTATGGGAAGTAAAGTTTTTGAGATCTTGTTTGTCTGCAAATGTCTTTATCTTCTCATGCATTGATTGATAATTAGGCTAAGGATATATGATTTGCTTAGAAATAACTTTTCTACAGAACATCAAAGGAAATCTTCCATTGTCTTCTAGCTTCCAGAATTGCTGTTAAGAAATCATAAGTAGCCAGGTGTGGTGGTTCATGCCTGTAATCCCAGCACTTTGGGAGGCCGAGGTGGGTGGATCACTTTGAGCTCAGGTGTTCAAGACCAGCCTGGGCAACATGGCAAACCCCCATCTCTACCAAAACTACAAAAAATTAGCTGGGGGTAGTGGCACACACCTGTGGTCCCAGCTACTCGGAAGGCTGAGATAGGAGGATCGCTTGAGCCTTGGAGGCAGAGGTCGCACTGAGCCGAGATTGTGCCACTGTACTCCAGCCTGGGTGACAGAGCAAGACCCTGTCAGGGGGGGAAAAAAAGAAGACATAAGCTATTTTGATTACTGAGTCTTTGTATGTGCCTTGGTTTTTCTCTCTGGAAGTTTGTAAAGTTCTCTTTTTGCCAAATGTGCCTGTCCTAGGTTTATACCCATCCATTGTGCTGGGCATTCAGTGGGCCATTTCAGTCTGGAAAAATGTCCTTCATTTCTAATAAACAGGATTTTTCACTTTTGTTATTATCTTTCTAATTTCCCAGAGCTCTTTCATTTTTTCTCTGTCTTCCTTATTAAAATTAATCAATAAGCCAGGCATGGTGGCATGTGCCTGTAGTCCCAGCTACTGGAGAGGTTGAGGCAGGAGGATCGCTTGAGCTCAGGAGTTCAGTGAGCTATGATGGTGCCACTGCACTCCAGCCTGGACAACAAAGCAAGCCCTCATCTCTAAAAAATAATAATAATAGGCCAGGCACAGTGGCTCAGGCCTGTAATCCTAGCACTTTCAGGGACCAAAGTGGAAAGATCACTTGAGGCTAGGAGTTCAAGACCAACCTGGGCAACATAGCAAGACCCTGACTCTGCAAAAAATTAATAATATAAACTGTATTCTTACTTTCTTCTTTCCTGGATCCGTATCATCTCATATCTTTGATTTTGCTAATCAGAATTTTCATTTTTGTTTATTCTCTGTTTCTCTTCTACATAATGTCTGTTTTCTCCGAGTTGCTTTTTTGGGAGGAAGGAGAGGTGTTTCAGTCTCTTTCCATAGATGTCTGGTAAATGTTGGTAGTCTATCGTCTATCCATATTTAAAGGTGCGAGACTCAAAAGATAATGGAAGCTGTGAAGACATGAGAGGACTTGTCATTTCTGCACTTCCCTGTAGGTGGAACTGATTTCTCATTTCTTTTTTCTTTTTTTTTTTTTTTGAGACAAAGTCTCACTCTGTCGCCCAGGCTAGAGTGTGGTGGCGCGATCTCGACTCACTGCAAGCTCTGCCTCCCGGGTTCACGCCATTCTCCTGCCTCAGCCTCCCAAGTAGCTGGGACTACAGGCGCCCACCACCATGCCCAGCTAATTTTTTGTATTTTTAATAGGGACGGGGTTTCACTGTGTTTGCCAGGATGGTCTCCATCTCCTGACCTCGTGATCCGCCTGCTTCGGCCTCCCAAAGTGCTGGGATTACAGGCATGAGCCACCGCGCCCGGCCCTGATTTCTCATTTCTAAGAAAATTTCTTGAGTCAAGGTCTTTCCTCTTGGGCTGGTTCAGTTTTACAGAGAAGACATCCAACCTCTTACATGAAGGATGAAGACAGGATGCCAAGGTGTTGGAAGACATGTGTGAGAAGATGGCAAGGGTCTCTGCATTCAGCATGCATATGTTCATTTAGTGCCCCATTTGCTTCAGTGCCTGCTTCCAAGCCATGCCTGGTATCCCAGTCCAGAGACCATCTGGTTTACCTCTCCACAAAGTTAACTTGTAGTCTGCAGGACTGGGGAAGATCTAGAGGTCTAAAAATTTCTTAAGCAGCTTTCAAGCCATCCTTCTTTTTTTTTTTTTTTTTTTTGAGGTGGAGTCTCACTCTGGTTGCCCAAGGCTGGAGTGTGGCAGCCCGATCACAGCTCACTGCAGCTTTGACCTCCATGGGGTCAGGTGATCCTCCCACCTCAGCCTCTTGGGTAGCTGGGACTACTGGCATGCACCACCACGCCTTGCTAATTTTTTGTATTTTTAGTAGAAACAGGTTTTCACCACGTTTCCCAGGCTGGTCTCAAACTCTTGGACTCAAGCAATCTGCCCACCTCAGCTTCCCAAAGTGCTGGGATTACAAGAGTGAGCCACCATGCCCAGCCTCCTCCTACTTATTTCAGTTTACCTCTCTTTCACTGTCACTTCAGAGAAACCTGGTGCTGCCGCTTACAGAGCTTATTGAAGTTGTTTTTTGTTTTTTTTTTTTTAAGTACATAGGATTAAATAGGATAGCTCTTCTCTGCTACTGGCTTAGGATTCAGCTTTCTCAATTCCACTAAGTCAATTAAAATGTGTTCCTTTGCCTCATTCATAGGCTTGGATTAAACATCATCTTAAAAAAAAAATGGCACAGTGGCTTTATTTGCTTAGTTAATTGGTTGCCTTTAATTTTGTAATCGGCATCTCTCAACCTACTCCCAAATCAAAGACTAAGCCCTTAACAGTTACCTCACCCCTCATCCATCAGCCTGAGCAACATAGCAAGAACCCATCTCCACACCCCTTCTCACTCACCTTGCACCCGAGGTGATCATCATTCTGCATGGTCATCATTTCATTTCTTTGCTTTCTATGTAGTTTTATTGCATATACATATATTCCTATAAAATTTTTTTTACTTTAGTTCCTTTAGGTCTGTATTAAAAGGTATCATGCTGTATGTAATCTACTGAGAATTTTATTTTTCACTTACTATTTTATAGTACCAAGACTTGTCCATATTGTTGCCTGTCACTGTAGTTTATTCATATTGACTACTATGTAACATTCTATGAATATCCTTCATTTGCCTTCCACCTTTCAAAATTTCACTGCTATCATCTTCTCTCCTCTTCGTCCTTGTAGATATTTTTCAAAAGTTATTTATTATAATATTAGTGAGGTTTTGGAGGAAACAAAATTAGGTGTGTATATTCAATCTACTATTTTTACCTAGGTTACCTAAGTGATCATGAAAAGTAGTTTTGACTATATGAGATGTTTTACCTTACTAACTTATAGAGCCTCAGCCCTGTATAAAGTATGATTCCACTGCACACACTGTAAACCTTAGTTGTTAACATTAATAGGTGACAATAATATAGAGCTGGCAAGGACTTCTATGGTCATCCAGTCCAACTTTCCACTTGGTTTAGAAATGTTCCTGGTCAGGAAGGCACAGATAGTACTGTTTGACCCTGGAGTTACTTTTGAATACTTATAAATACTTATAACTCAAAGAAAAATGTTGATATTTTAGTTAGCTTTTTTTTTTTTTTTTTTTGTAGAGATGGGTTCTTGCTATGTTGCTCAGGCTGGTTTCAAACTCTTGGTCTCAAAAGATCCTCCCACCTGGGCCTCCCAAAGTGCTGGGATTACAAGCATCAGCCACCATTCCTGGCCTTACTCGGGTTTTATAGCCTTACTGCAGTTAAATGTGATGTTTTTGTTAGACTTGTTTAATTATTGAAAATAGCCGAAGGGCCTTTTTGTTGCCCGTAGAGAAATCCAGGGATCTCGGGGCCCAGGTTAAGGCTGTGGTTCTGAGCACCATAAATACAGCAGACATTGAAACCTTCTCTTTATTTATTTATTTATTTATAAATTTATTTATTTATTTATTTCTGCACAGGAAAGAAAGAATAAACCTTTTCTTTCTTTTTTCCATTGCAGGGATGTTATCAAGTGGCTGGTCAAAGCAGTAACTGCAGATGGATTGACTCAGCCCCCAAATGGAAATCAAATGTCTTCAGGAACAGGAGTCTTGAAGGCCAGCGGTAGCCACCCTCCTTCCCAGCCCAACCTGACAAAGAACACCAATCAGCTGTAAGGGGCAGGCAGTTATCTTTCCTGGGGTTTAGCATTTTAGAGAACAGCACCAATCCCTAAGAGCAGCTTCCCCCAAATTAACAAGATCTTAGAACATAGGCTGATGCTTATTCAAGACTTAGTTTAACTAAAGGCTAATTTTCTAATTTAAAAGGTGGAACAAAACCAGGTGCTTTCACCCCTAGAATGAACAGGACTTCACAAAGTGATTACGAAGTCACAACGCAGACACAAAACAAATGCTAGAGAACACTGCCCTTCATTTCCTGCATTTCAGGAGACAGTAAAGGGTTACAGCTGCTCATCACTTTAGGTATCTGTTGCCATAGAGAAGGAGTGGTGTGTAGTGCGAGTTTTGTTAACTTCGAGTCCTCAAGGACCTGGCTTTCTCTCCCCAGGTCCCGGGAGGAAAATAGCAGTTCAGCCTGCAGGTTCCAACACACGAAGGCAGGTCTCATCACCACAGACTGGACTGGAAAGAAATTCATGGCATTTCTTTTATGGAGTTGAGAGTGGCCTTGGCATGTTTTGAGAGATGCCAGGATATTAGGGGCTGGGGCTACCTTTGCACAAGTAACCCAGTATTCCATGTCAATCATATTGTTAAAAGCCAGTCACACTGGACATTTCAAATACATTTGTGTCTGAATTCACAATGTTATATTATAATCTGGTTGCACCAATCTGATTTTTATGGAAGGCCTACAAGTTTAAATTGTTTCCTAAATTATAAATAATTATAACTAATTTAGGAAACAATTTTATGTCTAAAGGGGAATGTTTTGGAACAATGAAGCATTTGGGCAGATTGAGGAAGGCCCTAAAGTGGCGTTCTCCCACAGGGGCCACATAGAGACCCAAGAGGGAGGTGGACACTGTTCCTTCAGTGGAAGCTAATATCAAATAATCATCATCATAATAAATGTTTATAAATACATGTTAGTAGAAGTAACAATAGGGTCCCCTAAAAGTCAATTTTGTTATGATCTTAACAACAATAATAGGTTGCTACCACTTATCACTAGAATCCCTATCTGTGAGATATTTTATACAGCACTCACAAGTTTACAAAGTAGATTATATTATTGCTCACCCTTTTTATACATGAGAACACTTAGACTCAGAGCGGTTTAGTAACTTGTCAAAGGTTGAACAGCTTATTATCGTTGTAGAGACAGACGCTGAGGCTAGAGCTCCTGATCTGGCCCACCTATTGTGTTGCTAGCTGCAGATTTTCTTAAAGTAAAGCCTTTCTTCCATCACAAATAACACGTTAGAAAAGGCTGATGTCAGGCCAGGCTCACCTTTCTGAGAGGTTGCCCAGACACCTAATGCCACATCAGGCTGTCTGTCTCCCACAGTTAGATCTAATGAGAAGGAAGGTCAGGTTCCACCAGGGGAGGTTCTGAGACTGATCTTAGTAAGAAACTATTGTAAAGGAAACAGTAACAGGAGAAAACTGTATGGCAAATACATGTTTTCTCCTGTATCAAAGAAATTTAAATCATTTTAAGTCACTCTGGACCTGTTTCTTCATCTGCAAAATAGGGAAGTTAGAGATCAGATGATCCTTATAGTTCTCTAGATCCTTAAGGTTGTGTGGTTCTATTTTTGAATTTAAAAGCAGCTTGCTTTTACAGCTCAACCCCAGGTTCTGAGAGGTTCAGATAGTATGTTCTGGCAAAAGGGATTCAGGTAGGTGAAATTGCTAAATAAAAGCATGCTGATGGCTTGAGTAGTTCTCCCTGACCTTGTGTGTGCTTTATAAGTCCTTTAGTAGTCTCTACTCTCGATGTACACTGGTGGGGACTCAGATGGGTTCTTGCTATGTTGCTCAGGCTGGTTTCAAACTCTTGGTCTCAAAAGATCCTCCCACCTGGGCCTCCCAAAGTGCTGGGATTACAAGCATCAGCCACCATTCCTGGCCTTACTCGGGTTTTATAGCCTTACTGCAGTTAAATGTGATGTTTTTGTTAGACTTGTTTAATTATTGAAAATAGCCGAAGGGCCTTTTTGTTGCCCGTAGAGAAATCCAGGGATCTCGGGGCCCAGGTTAAGGCTGTGGTTCTGAGCACCATAAATACAGCAGACATTGAAACCTTCTCTTTATTTATTTATTTATTTATAAATTTATTTATTTATTTATTTCTGCACAGGAAAGAAAGAATAAACCTTTTCTTTCTTTTTTCCATTGCAGGGATGTTATCAAGTGGCTGGTCAAAGCAGTAACTGCAGATGGATTGACTCAGCCCCCAAATGGAAATCAAATGTCTTCAGGAACAGGAGTCTTGAAGGCCAGCGGTAGCCACCCTCCTTCCCAGCCCAACCTGACAAAGAACACCAATCAGCTGTAAGGGGCAGGCAGTTATCTTTCCTGGGGTTTAGCATTTTAGAGAACAGCACCAATCCCTAAGAGCAGCTTCCCCCAAATTAACAAGATCTTAGAACATAGGCTGATGCTTATTCAAGACTTAGTTTAACTAAAGGCTAATTTTCTAATTTAAAAGGTGGAACAAAACCAGGTGCTTTCACCCCTAGAATGAACAGGACTTCACAAAGTGATTACGAAGTCACAACGCAGACACAAAACAAATGCTAGAGAACACTGCCCTTCATTTCCTGCATTTCAGGAGACAGTAAAGGGTTACAGCTGCTCATCACTTTAGGTATCTGTTGCCATAGAGAAGGAGTGGTGTGTAGTGCGAGTTTTGTTAACTTCGAGTCCTCAAGGACCTGGCTTTCTCTCCCCAGGTCCCGGGAGGAAAATAGCAGTTCAGCCTGCAGGTTCCAACACACGAAGGCAGGTCTCATCACCACAGACTGGACTGGAAAGAAATTCATGGCATTTCTTTTATGGAGTTGAGAGTGGCCTTGGCATGTTTTGAGAGATGCCAGGATATTAGGGGCTGGGGCTACCTTTGCACAAGTAACCCAGTATTCCATGTCAATCATATTGTTAAAAGCCAGTCACACTGGACATTTCAAATACATTTGTGTCTGAATTCACAATGTTATATTATAATCTGGTTGCACCAATCTGATTTTTATGGAAGGCCTACAAGTTTAAATTGTTTCCTAAATTATAAATAATTATAACTAATTTAGGAAACAATTTTATGTCTAAAGGGGAATGTTTTGGAACAATGAAGCATTTGGGCAGATTGAGGAAGGCCCTAAAGTGGCGTTCTCCCACAGGGGCCACATAGAGACCCAAGAGGGAGGTGGACACTGTTCCTTCAGTGGAAGCTAATATCAAATAATCATCATCATAATAAATGTTTATAAATACATGTTAGTAGAAGTAACAATAGGGTCCCCTAAAAGTCAATTTTGTTATGATCTTAACAACAATAATAGGTTGCTACCACTTATCACTAGAATCCCTATCTGTGAGATATTTTATACAGCACTCACAAGTTTACAAAGTAGATTATATTATTGCTCACCCTTTTTATACATGAGAACACTTAGACTCAGAGCGGTTTAGTAACTTGTCAAAGGTTGAACAGCTTATTATCGTTGTAGAGACAGACGCTGAGGCTAGAGCTCCTGATCTGGCCCACCTATTGTGTTGCTAGCTGCAGATTTTCTTAAAGTAAAGCCTTTCTTCCATCACAAATAACACGTTAGAAAAGGCTGATGTCAGGCCAGGCTCACCTTTCTGAGAGGTTGCCCAGACACCTAATGCCACATCAGGCTGTCTGTCTCCCACAGTTAGATCTAATGAGAAGGAAGGTCAGGTTCCACCAGGGGAGGTTCTGAGACTGATCTTAGTAAGAAACTATTGTAAAGGAAACAGTAACAGGAGAAAACTGTATGGCAAATACATGTTTTCTCCTGTATCAAAGAAATTTAAATCATTTTAAGTCACTCTGGACCTGTTTCTTCATCTGCAAAATAGGGAAGTTAGAGATCAGATGATCCTTATAGTTCTCTAGATCCTTAAGGTTGTGTGGTTCTATTTTTGAATTTAAAAGCAGCTTGCTTTTACAGCTCAACCCCAGGTTCTGAGAGGTTCAGATAGTATGTTCTGGCAAAAGGGATTCAGGTAGGTGAAATTGCTAAATAAAAGCATGCTGATGGCTTGAGTAGTTCTCCCTGACCTTGTGTGTGCTTTATAAGTCCTTTAGTAGTCTCTACTCTCGATGTACACTGGTGGGGACTCCTCCCAGCCACAGAGTGGCTCCTTGCCAGACCCTCACACTCATATGTGTCCTATGTTCTGGACTCAGGATTGTGTGCCAGCTTCAGAGGATGCTCTCCATAGCCGTAGAGGTGGACAGGACCCCCACCTGCAGCTCCAATAAAATTGCTGAGATGATGTTTGGGTTTGTGCTGGACATTCCTGAGAGGAGCCAAAGGTGAGTCTTAGTTTTGTTGGGGAGAGCGGTTATTTAAAAAAGAAAAAGAAACCTCTTGGAAATCATTTTTATTAAATTAACTTTTCTATCTGTGTTACCTGTCAGGAACAGAATTTTACAAAAGAAAATTCCAAACTAATTAAGATAGGAAGACAATAGTAGAAGGATTATTCTCATGTCTTTAACTTTTGGAAAGGAGGTTCTCAACTAATTATTATTATTTACAACTGAGATATAATTTATTGGAAAGAGGCACAGTACCCTAAATGGAGCCTAAATTTTCTAACCTTATCAATTTGCCTAACGGTTTTACTCTTCTGTCAATATTTAACTGTTAAGGCTGGGTGCAGTGACTCACGCCTGTAATCCCAGCACTTTGGGAGGCCTAGGCGGGCAGATCACCTGAGGTCAGGAGTTCAAGACCAGCCTTGGCCAACATAGTGAAACCCTGTCTCTACTAAAAATACAAAAATTAGTTGGGCGTGGTAGTGCACACCTGTAATCTCAGCTACTCGGGAGGCTGAGACACAAGAATCACCTGAACCAGGAGGTGGAGGATGCAGTGAGCTGAGATCGCTCCACTGCACTCCAGCCTGGGTGACAGAGTGAGACTCCATCTCAAAAAAAATAAAAATAGAGGGCGGCTGCGGTGGCTTACACCTGTAATCCCAACACTTTGGGAGGCCGAGGTGGGCGGATCACGAGGTCAGGAGATTGAGACCATCCTGGCTAACACAGTGAAACCCTGTCTCTACTAAAAATACAAAAAAAAAAATTAGCTGGATATGGTGGTGGATGCCTGTAGTCCCAGCTACTCTGGAGGCTGAGGCAGGAGAATGGCGCGAACCCTGGAGGCAGAGCTTGCAGTGAGCTGAGATTGCACCACTGCACTCCAGCCTGGGTGACAAAGTGAGACTCCGTCTCAATAAATAAATAAATAAATAAATTTATTTAACTGTTAAGCCCTGCCTTCTTCTCTGATCTTTATCCATAGGCCTGGCGTAAGTGTTCACTAAAGGTTTGGTGGGTGAATGAAATAGATATATCCAATATTAGGGGAACTAGAGGTGACCCAAGAAAGAAAAGAGCTGGACCTGTAGAATGACCCCAGATAGTAAGAATTAGGAATTCAGTTTCTCTAAGCATGAATTAGTGAAGTATTTCGTTAGGAAGGGATAAAGAAATGGTTTTTGGCTAACACCAATGATTCCTTCCTTGAGCCAGTAATTTTAAAATCCAGAGGAAAAAAAATAAACTGGAATGAATATTAATTCATGAACAATTGCTGGTATAGGAAATAAGTATAAGAGAGTCATTGTGTAGTGGTGACCCTTGGGGAAATTATGGTGTATGTTTGTCTGCAGTTCATCTCCATCAGCTCCATGACTGCTTCCTATCTCCGTCCCTAAACACCCAGCTGGCAACCAAGACAAGTATTGTGCAGCTCTGATTTCTTCTATTACAAGAAAATGTCATACCAAATAGTACTGTAATAGGACTTAATTAAAATACTCTGGTAAGATTAAGACATTTACTGAGCCTCTACAATGTGCCAGTCATTGTCACATTATCTCATTTGTTTTCTGGGGTTTTTTTTCCTGTTTTTTTCTTTTTTTAATTTAGAAACAGGGTCTTGCTATGTTGCCCATGCTAGTTTTGAACTCCTACGCTCAAGCAATCCTCCTGCCTCAGCCTCCCAAAGTCTGGGATTACAGGCATGAGCCACCACACCCAACCTTATTTATTTTTCTTATAATGTTATCCCTATTTATTTATTTATTTGTTTTGAGACAGAGTCTGACTCAGTCACCCAGGCTGGAGTACAGTGGTGGGATCTCAGCTCACTTCAATCTTCACCTCCTGGGTTCAAGCGATTCTCCTGCCTTAGCCTCCTGAGTGGCTGGGATTATAGGTACACACCCCCATACCGAGCTAATTTGTGTATGTTTAGTAGAGATGGGGTTTCACCATGTTGGCCAGGCTAGTCTCAAACTCCTGACCTCAGGTGACCCGCCCACCTCAGCCTCCCAAAGTGCTGGGATTACAGGCATAAACCACAACACCTGGCAATGTTACCTCTATTTAATGAATAAGAAAAGCATTCAAAGAGGTGGAGTTAACTAGCTTAAGTTTATGTAGCTAATCAGGTTCAGAATCCAAATTTAAACCCAGGGCTGCTTAATCCCAAATTCAGTATTCAAAGGAGGCAGTATGTTGTAGTGGTCAGACAGAAGAAAGTGCACATGAATACCATGCTTGCTCTAACACTTTGTCAGGAGTATTTCATTTGGGTCCAATTCCTCTACTATCCATTCATATAAGCCCAGATGCTGGTAAGAAATGGAAAAGCTAAGGAATGGGTAACAAAAACGAATTAGGAATTAAAACAGATGAACATGATTTATACAAAATCTGGCACTACTTTAAAATTCTCTCAGAAGGGGCAAATTGGCCACTCACTCAAATTATACTAAAAGATACTTTACTTGGCCTTTACCTTGATTTATTTTAATTTTCTAAAGATTAAGTATAATTTACATACAATTAAATTATGTAAACTAACTTGCATACATACCATCCAGTGAGTCTTGACAAATGCATATAGCTTCTTGACCTATCATTTTCCAATTGCTCATTAGTAGTGTATAGAAACCCTGCAACCTTAATAAATTAACTTATCCTAGTAGGATTTTTGTTTGTTTTCCTTAGGATTTTCTACATACACAATCACGTTGTCTAAAAATACAGTTAACCTTATCCTTCCCAATCTGTGTATGCTTTTGCTTTCTTTTTCTTGCCTTATTGCATAGGCTAGTATCTCCAGGAAAATGTTGGAGAAGCAGTGAGAGTAGACATTATGGCCCCATTCCTGACCGTAGGGTGAAAACATCCAGTTTTTGACTATTAAGTGTGACGTTAGCTATAAATGTTTCATAGGTGCCCTTTGTTAGATTGAGGGAGCTTCCTTCCACTTCTAGTTTATTATTTTTATGAAGAATGAGTACTGACATTTGCCAAATATCTTGTTTCCATCTATTGAGATAATCATAGTTTTTCTTCTTTATTCTGTTGATGTGGTATGTTACACTGATTAATTTACTTATATTAAGCCAACCTTGCATTCCTGGAATAAAAACCCTACTTGGTTGCGATGTTATCCTTCTTATATATTGATGGATTCCAGTTGCTAATATTTCATTAAGGGTTTTTGCATCAATGTTTGCAAGGGATATTAATCTGTAATTTTATTTTTCTGTAATGTTTAATGTTTTCCATAATGTTTCCTTATGCATATTGAAAGAAGATAAGTTGGCCAGGCTGGTCTCGAACTCCTGACCTCAGATGATCTGCCCACCTCAGCCTCCCAAAACGCTGGTGTGAGCCACCACACGCAGCCTTCTATGAACTGAATTCTAAGATAAGTTTAAAAAGCAAAATACAAGAGTATGTATATTAAATATACATATCTTTTTGTAAAAAAGGATAAATTAAAAATACACACAATTCTGATCATTTGTTTAAAAAAGAAACAAAGTTAAGGTAAGCCACAGACTAATAAAATTGCTTACATATAGAGAATGGGTGGGAATGGGATAAAAAGGAGAAAAGGTACCGGACTGGGTGGTAATGATGGCAGTGGTGGTAGTGGTAAACACTTCCCTGAATATGTCTTTTTGTGTGCCTATAAACACTTCTTAGAGTCATGTTAAACCACTTACTCCTGAGATTGCACATTTTTTATGTGAAAAATCAGACCTTGGCAATGACCTTGAGCAGTAGGATACAAATAACTCTCACAAGCTTAGCGTTCCAATAATGGAACACTGGGCATAAATTAAATGTTTTACATACTCAAAAAAAATCAAGTTCACAGGGTACCAAAAATGGAATACAAACAGAAACAAGTTAACCTAACTGTACTTTAATAAAATAAAGCAGAGCTAGCATGGTGGCATGCACCCACAGTCCCAGCTACTCAGGAGGCTCAGGTAGGTGGATCACTTGAGCACAGGAGTATGAGGCCAGCCTGGGCAACACAGCAAAATCCTGTTGGTAATTAATCAATAAAAATGGGGTAAGGGGTGGAGTGACAAGCCCAGGTAACTTTTTTTTAACTTTTTATTTTTATTTTATTTTAAATAATTGTAGATTCACAGGAAATTGCAAAACCTTTTACAAGTACTGTGTGTCCTTTACATTGTTCTCCCCCAAATACAAGGAGAACTGTAACTATAGTACAGTATCACAAATAGGAAATTTGCATTGGTACAATCCAGGACTTTATTCAGTTCTACCCATTCTCATGCAGTCATTTGTGTGAAGCTCTCTCTTTTTAGTTCTATTACATGTGTAGATTTATATAACCATCACTGCAGTCAAGATGTATAACTGTTCCACGGCCGGGCGCGGTGGCTCAAGCCTGTAATCCCAGCACTTTGGGAGGCCGAGACGGGCGGATCACAAAGTCAGGAGATCGAGACCATCCTGGCTAAC